ATTGATGGAACAGCTATGAAGAACATAGTGTGAAGCCTTGACATCAATGCTCCCTGTAGAGAAAAGACTTCAAATAAAAACTTGAATTTTTTTGGAGCTGTGGTCTTGTTATATATGTTACAACAGGTTGATGATAGAATCATCTAGAAGATTGTAACAAAACATTTATAGGCTACAATATATTGAATAGAAAGGGCCTATTCTTCTTGAACAACTAATAATATAGATAGTGGTACACAGGGTGACTCCAGTTGAGATTTACATTACAAGGGTAGCTTTCTGTTGACTGACCTTCTGAACAGAAAAAAAATATTACTTCCATCTGTTCTGTCATTGGAGAATCTCCTGGAGCTGCCTTTACCACATGCTCCAACAAACAGTGCAACAACTTATATCAAAGCAGATGGGAGTAAGACAAAACTGCTCAGGCCTTATCAGTGGTCAGACTCTTATATACTCTTTTTAAAAGTCATATTCCCTTGGTATCTCAGGGTCTAAAGGTGGAGGAAAATACCCACTAAAAATCTTCATTTGCTAGATTATCTGTACAGATGTATGACTGCCTAGACACCAATCAAAGATCAGTAAGAAACTTGTACCGCCCCCAATCCTTTCTCCCTCACCCCCAATTTTGCAGAAACGTCAATTATTGTTTCAAGTCTCCAGTTTTGATCAGTTATTTTCTCTACGGCTTCCCTGATCTCAGGAAATTTTTACCAACATAAATTAATAGATTTGCTAGGTCATATAATTAGTTTTCAGGCACTTTAAACATATATCAGATGTAAAGTAGAGACCTCAGCATGCATTTTTACAAATGATGTAAAGATTCTGTTAACTAAATGAATACATAATGAAAGTTTTCTTGTTCTAACCCTCTTAAGTATCATGAATGCTATTTTTACTTTACAGCTGTGGAGTACTGAAATAATCTTAAGTATACAGAGCAAAATCCTTCTAAATGTAGGGTTTGAAGCTAACCATCTAGGCATAAAGGAATATTTTTGGGTTTGCTGGCCTCAAATCTTACACTGTATCAGCTGACAACTTTTAGAATTCTTAACCAACACATGTAGACCCAACACATTTAATGGGCCACCTAGTTGGGAAAAGATAATCTAAAGAAAGCTCTCACATGTTAGGAACTTCCCTTCTATTTATCCCAACGAGCTCAGTTTCCAAGCTGATTCTGGCTTTAGAAAATGAAAGATAATACAGTATCACTGGAACGTAATTTTAAACTCTTTTAATGAAAAATTGTGAGATTAGTTTCCAAGCCCCACCTGCCTCTAAGTGGGGTGGGGATGGAAGTGTATGTTGCCTAATGCATTAAATGTTCTATGAATGCTGTCCAATCCCATATTTGAATTTTGTATTATCCTGAATTGTGTTGCACCCAATTTTGTGCTTGGCAGATTGTTGCAATTATAATATTAGAATAATGAACATAGTAGCTACCTTAGCAGGAATTCTGCAGTATTGTTCCTGTTCAGGGAAGAATGCTTTCATGCTTTTCTGCTTGTAAACATTCCAGATGGGAGCATGCAAAACCACAGATTAGTAAAAAAACAGCAATAGTTATAAGAATCAGCCTTTATACCTTTTATTACAATTTACTGTTGAATTAAATTGTATTATAATTTAGGTGTCGTGTGTGATTCTTTGGGGCAATAAATCCAAGATCCTTAACATAACTCTTCTTCCCCTGTTCAGCCATTGCTTTGGCATTGTTTCCAACATCAATCCCTTCTAACTCGAGCTGAGGTAAATCTATTTAAAGTAAACAGATTAACACATTTTTCCATGTCTAACATGAGAACTGAGCGGTTGTCATTTCCCTAAAAGCATTGTATGTGACAGGCCCCAGATGCTGAGCTTCTTAGGACAGCTGCCTGATTTACTTGACTGAATTGGATTTACAGTTGGTGTCCGACTGTTCTTTGTTATGTTTATCTCCTGTCTCTGGGGCTAATCAGATTAGGTGATAGCATTATCTTACTATCCAATTTCTCCTGAGCTTAGGGTATGGGGTCTTTACAGCATTTTATGGTTTCTGAAGTGGGACTTTTGTGTGATCTGCAAAGGATGGTAGCTGTCTCTCCTTGCCCTCTGTGCTGCACTCAAAGAGAAAGATTAGTTAACACTTCAGGCTTCTTTAAATATAATGAGCTACTGTTAGTAAGTTGATTCTAATATAAGGCCACACAGCATCTCTTACGGTATAAAGTTTACATGAATAAAGTTTAAGTAGGTAATTGAAGAGTAATTGTCAGTATTAAAGTTCAACTGATTCCTCCTCTGAACACTGTTATAATGTGCTTGTTCATATTGATATCTTCCAGTCTTCCAGATGTTGATCTTTCATCAGTCTTTTTAGACATCCCCCCAATACCATTCTTTTAATCGTACATTAATTTTATAATCTTACCTCACCTTCCCCAATTTTGTCATGTATCTTGACAAAGAATGTGTGAAGTAAATATGAGCTGATATTAACATGTTTACAGTTGTGTCTGTAAATTTTGTGGCTTACAGAAAATAAACTCCAAACTTCACCCCAAATGTCTCACCAATCCTGAGTAGGGAATTGAATTGCAGAAAATGGTTGGCTGGGAACCATACCCATATGTAATAGGAAATCCTTCAATTTCATAACAAGAAACTGAAGTGCAGAGTTCTTAGCTTAGGCAGTAATTCATGAGTATCTACTGCAGTGCTCTGAGATAGCAACCTGAGAGATTTCTGTTTGTCTTACCAAATACAGATAATTCTCAACTTACAACCATTCCTGTGATGACCCAGGGTGTGGCACAAAAGCAACACAACCAGAGAACACGTCTAACTCCCTCTATTGCTCCAACTCTGCCCCCAAACATTCCCACATTCACTACAAGTCCTGGAGCAAAGCTCTTACATGCAAGTAGTCCAGTAAGCCAGGTTAACCAAACAACAACCAGGGCCAGCAGTCCGGTAAGCCATGTTAATCAAACAGCAAACAGGGCCAACAGTCCAATTAGCCAGGTTAGCTAAACAGTAACCAGAGCTAGAATTTCAGTGGAGCAGGCAAACTGGCAAGCCCCACAAGACAAGAGTACAGCATTTTCCAGGGCGTTGCTCAGGAGAGTCCAAGCAAATACAGATAATACAGATTCGTTGCCGTCGTCCGTGCCTCCTGCTGGCCGCGGTGTGGTGCGGTTCCTCAGGGCTCCTATTTATACTTGGCGGCAAGCTTTAAAGCGCCGGGAAGTTCCAGACGCCATTTTTTAGCCACTTGCAGTTTCGATTTCGGATTTAAATACCGCGTGCCACAGCTGCCTACAGCCTGACTCAGCAAGAGCCGCACGGTGCCTTCTTTGTCCGGCCTGGCTGGCAATTTGGCCTGATTCTCTCAGAGTGGCAAGGATTGGGGCCTACCGGTCACAGACCTTCTGTTCCTGCAAGTGCTGGAAGCATTTAACGCTCGCGCATATTACCAAGTGCTAATCTTTGGTGCCTCGACCTCCTGCGTCTCTCTTGAGCGTGTTAGTGGTCTGCAGAGGGCTTTGCAAGGTGGTGAGTGGAGGCAATTCCCTTTCATCACCCACAGAATTCCCTATGGCTGATCAGGTGCTAGAGGACCCTAGCCAAGTAGGTGGGTTATCCAGGGCCTTCCCCGGGCAGGCCGGCTTAGGAGGCCATCAGGGGATCAAAGCCATATTCTAGGCCTGGGCCTAAGCAGGGAGCGGGGCCTGACAAGGACGCATTGTGTCGCCAGAAGGCCCTTGATAAACAATTCTCCAAGGCCCAGCACCAGGCACAGGCCTCCCATTCAGTGTCTCCTGAGGAGCCCTCTATGGAGGTTCCACGAGCTCAGTCAAGGCCTATTTAGAATAGTGAGGAGGAAGGCCGGGTGTTTTCACCCACGGCCTCGATGGCAATGGCAGTTTCTCTTGGGCCTTCAATGGTAGACCAGGCTGACCTTTTTGCTTGTCCTTCGGATCTGGAGGAGGCTCCACTCCCGGAGCCCTTGGCTCCTCAACACCCACCTCCAAGGCCCGACCCCAGGGTTCGCCCCAGGGAAGATCTAGGGCCTGACCTATCAGTTGAGATTCAGGAGGTTATTAATAGAGCCATTTCCCGGGGCATTGAGGCGGGCATGATGCATACGGGCAAACATACCCGCAAAACTAAACACCTCCAGCCCCAGCCTGTTGCCAGGGCCGCATCTCCTCCACCTATATCTCATTCCCCCCATTCTGCCTTGGGTTCCAAGGATTCAGACTGGGAGGAGGGGAGGACATTCTTCTGAGACAGGAGGCTGAGTTCTCTGGGAAGGAAGGTGCCACCACCGAAAAGCCCACTTCGTTGGGTCTTTTTAAATTGGCCAATTTCAAAACCATTTTGGATAAGGCTAAATTAGCCACCCGCATGGGATCCAAGCCCCCGGTTCAAGCTGCTGCTGATCCAGAGGATTTATCTGGGGATCTATTTGAGGAGCCTGTTTCGGCTCAAGAAATCGTGCCTGTTCCCAAACTCTTTCTAAATTTGGTTCAGAAGCAGTGGGCTCAACCAGCCACTATGGCTACCCCCAGTAACAATGATAAGAGGCTGTACTCAGTGGATGCTAGTCTGGAGGATTTACTTAAGCTGCCCCCTATCGATCCTCCTGTGGCAGCACTTACTTCGACCTCTGTGCTCCCACCTGACCTTCTGGAGGGTCTCAAGGCTGAGGATAAAAAGTCTGAAAATGCCTGCCACAAGACACATCAGGCAGCTGCATGGGCGATTAAGACATCTGTCTCTGCCTCTTTTCTCTCCAGGGCTGCCCTTGTCTGGCTGAGACAGTTGTTGGCCAGAATTCCAGTTAGAGACACCAAGTTACGACAGGACATTAATAAGATCATGGTGGCCACAGAGTACACCGCGGATGCCACCCTAAGTGCAGCTAAGTTTGCTCTCGGGCCCTGGCTTCTAATGTTACCACCAGGCGTCTCTTGTGGCTGAGGCACTGGAACGTTGACATGCGTTCCAAGTGGAAGTTGGTGTCTGCTCCCTTTAAGGATAACAAGCTTTTTGGGGAGGTCCTGGATCCGGTCCTAGTTGAAAACAAGGACAAAAGGAAAGTGATGCCGTCGGTTACCAAGAAATCCAACAAGAAGGGTTTTTACTCCTATAGGAGGCAGCCCTTTCGGAACACGGAGTCCGCCTCCAGCTCCGCTCTGTCGCAGAAGCCCTTTAACCAGCAGTCAGATAGGTCCCAAGATAGCCAGTCTTTCTGGGACAGGCGTCACCAGCAGCACTATTCCCATCGCCCCTTTCGAGGGGGCTCTGGTTCTTACCCCTTCAGGAGGTATAAGTGACTGTCGGTGGTCGGCTCCCATTGGGGGACGGCTCCAGTTGTTTCATGCCCAGTGGAAGCAGATCACGTTGGATCAGTGGGTCTTACAAACGATTCGGCTGGGTCTCACCTTGGAGTTCCTCTCCCCTCCCCCTTGTCACTTCATCAGGTGCCCCGTTCCCTCATGTCCAGTCAAACGGTCTCTCATGGAGCAGAAAGTCAGGCACCTCAGGGATATCACGGCCATAGAACCAGTTCCTGCAGGACAGGAGGTATCAGGGTTTTACTCCATCCTGTTGGCTGGTTCCCAAAAGCTCCGGGGGGTGGAGGGGGATCCTAGAGCTAAATAGCTTGAACCATCACATCCGCTATTGGAGGTTCAAGTCCCTCCAATCTATTCTGGGCTGCATCAGGCCGGGAGACATCTTAACCTCCATAGATCTCAAGGAGACCTATCTCCACGTTCCCATCTGCAAAGCCCACCGCAGGTACCTGAGGTTCACCTACGCAGGTCAGCACTACCAATACCGAGCCCTGCATTTCGGCCTGTCATCAGCCCCCAGGACATTCACAAAGATCCTCACGGCAGTGGCAGCTTTCCTCAGATCCCATCCGGTGCGGCTGCACTGCTACTTGGACGATGTCCTCCTTCAGTCGTCCTCCCACCAGCAGGCGGTGCGAGACCTCCAATACACGATGCAGGTACTTCAAGACCACGGTTTCTCCATCAACTTGGAAAAGAGCCACCTTCATCCGACGACCAGGCTGTAACACCTAGAGGCCATCATCAACACCGTCGCCTGCCAGGTCTTCCTGTCACTGGAGAGGGTGGTGAGCCTCAGGGAGAAGGTCGCACAGGTGCAGCGATCCTCCCAAGCCGCTGTCACAGCTCCTAGGCAAGATGATCTCATGCCTTCCATCATCCCGTGGGCACGACTTCATTCTTGTCCTCTCCAGTAGCTCCTGCTCCCTTACCAAAGGGCCAACGAGAGCAGTTCACCAAGGTTCATCCCAGTTTCCATGAAGGTATGTCGTTTGTTCAGGTGGTGGATGTCTCCAGCCCTAACGAAGGGGTCCCCATTCAAGGAGCCGATCCGGCTCACCATCATGATGGATGCCGGCCTGTACGGTTGGGAGGCCCATTTCCGCAATCAGATTGCTCAAGGCAGGTGGTCCTCGGCCGAGGCATCACACAGCATCAACTGGCTGGAACTGAGAGTGGTCCGGTTGGCCCTGATTCACTTTCAGGTTGGCATTCAGGGACATCACGTGAGGGTGTTGACAGACAACGTCGCGACGAAGGCGCACATCCACTGCCAGGGGGGTATGCCTCCGGGCGGCCAGCATGAAGCATTTGACGTTTAAGACCGTTTTCCTCATCACCTCACTTCGGCTAGGCGTATTTCTGAACTCGCTGCCTTGTCGGTCTGTGAGGACTTGTGCCTAATTCAACAAGAGAGTTATCCTCAGACTGGATCCGTCTTTCATTCCTAAGATTAATTCTTGGTTCCATCGGGCTCAGGAGGTCATTCTTCCTGACTTCTGTCTGCATCCCAGCCATCCCCGTGAGAAGCGCTGGCACAAGTTGGATATCCACAAGACGCTTCGCAGATACATCAAGCGCATGGCCAGTTTCCGGCGTTCTGAGTCACTGTTCGTCTCCTTCCAGCCTTCTTCTCAAGGTCCGAAGGTGTCCTCGTCTACCATTGGTGGATGGCTTAGGGCCTGCATCGCCCTCGCTCATGTTCTGCAGTCTAAACTGGTGCTCAATCACATCATGGCACATTTGACTAGAAGCGCTGCCACCACGGCAGCCTGGGCGACTTGGGCTCCGATTGAGGAAATTTGCAGAGCGGCCACCTGGACTTCCTTGTCTCCGTTTGTGCGGAATTATAAGTTGGACAAATTTGCTTCAGCGGAAGGGGCCTTTGGGAGGCATGTGCTGCAGGGTATTCATTCCAGTGGAGAGACCCTGACTGCTTCTGCTTCCCGCCCTGGTGACATTTAGCTTGGGTATATCCCTTGCTTGGACTCTCCTGAGCAGCGCCCTGAAAAAGGACCGTTGGACTTACCTGAAGGGTCATTTTCAGGGCACTGCGAAGGAGAGGCCACCCCGCTTGGGGATTTGGCTCCGTTCTTTTCCTGTTTGGTTTGAAGTTCCAGTTGGACTTGTTTGTTGTGTGATCGTTGGATTATTTGTTGGACTTCTCAGCGTGCAATGGTTCCACATCTTCATTTCAAAAATCTGAGGATAATCAGCACCAGAGGCGTGGCTTAAAGTTTCAATTCAGTTCTGGGCAGTTTGGCTGTATTTAACCTTTGCTTGGACTCTCCTTCGCAGTGCCCTGAAAATGACTCTTCAGGTAAGTCCAATAGTCCATCTCCAGGCTTTGGCAAGAACACCCAAGGCTCCACAGATTCAATGCTTGTTTCTGACAAATGCCAGATTCAATGGGAAAGCCAGATTCACTTAACAATCATGTTATTCAATTAACAATGCAGTTATTCACTTAACAACTGTGGCAAGAAAGGTCATAAAATGGGGCAAAATTCGCTTAACCATAGAAATGCAGTTGTGACTGTAAGTAAGGGCTGCCTGTATATTTAATATATTGTATTCATTTTAACAAAAAAAGGATGTAATACTGAAATGAAGGACGTTGGAAGAGCATTTTATAAATTACTGAAAAGTATAGGGAAGAGTGAATGCCTTTAATTTTGGCTATAAGGCAGGACTTGTATACCTTCCTGTGCTAAGGAGCAAAGTCTTTCAGTTTTTCCTCTGCCTCATAAAGAGAAGCAATAGCCTTTCTCTTGGCTCTGTCTTGAGAGTAGTGAACCAGAGCAAGGAGGAACAGCAGGGAACCCGTCACTTTAGTTTCCCAGCTCATGAAATGGATTCTGTATTTCTTATCCTCTGCCTATTTGCAATTTTCTTCATGCTCATGCAAAAAAAAGAAGAAAAAGAGAATGACATACCTAAAGAAACACAAATAGCAGACAGGCAAAGAGGAGATGGTTACCTATTGCAGTACCATTGGAGACAAGGAGAAGAGCAGTTGTAAAGCTAGCCTGCCTTCACAATATTCCAGATGGCAAGCCACAAGGTCAAACATTTGAATTAATACTTTTTTTTCAGGCTCTAGCAGAAGCTCATGAGTTTGGGCACATATGTAACAAGCAGATCTATCCAACCAGCCTCTGCAATAGAGGAAAATGTTTTCTCATTATAAATAAGGTAAAGAAACTGGAAAGAGCAAAATTTAGCATCTCCCCTCTGTCTCATATTAGAACTGGGATTTGTAGGATGCCATTTGTCCAGGTAACAACTTGGCATAGAACTGCTTAGATGCCATGATCATAATGTTGCTAAAGACAAGCTGTATCTATACTGTCTTTGGTGACTGATCATTGAAAGATGTCACCATTAACAATCTCTGATGTCAGAACGCAGACTATAAGAAGTCTTTATCTGAAAACTATTCTTTCTGTCTATAGGCCTTGGACACATCATATGACTCCTTCCTTTGCTTCTTCATTAGACATGGCAATTTTCCTTCATAATTTAGCATTATCATGGTAGATCTGGCCCAAACAGTGAAAGATTAGAGATCTCAAACCCTCTGTGTCCCAGAAGCTAGATAATATGGATCTCCTGGCTCTGTTGATATAACTGTTTGGAAGTTACCACTTTACCATCTATCTTACAGAGCAATGCTTTTATCTATCATATCCATCAATCATCATGTGTGAGAGAGGAGACACACACACCCCACAGCCCATGCTTTTATTGAGTAATAAAGGAATGATAAAAATTATTGAGTGCCATCTCCTGACTCCAGAATGTTGAAGCAAAGGAGATAAAAATATAGACTACACAGAGCTCTGGACAAAACAAGATGGCACTGGCCTATCCTAAGTTAGAAGAGCTATGTGTCCAGGGAAAATCCAAATTAAATGGAAATATGCAGTATGCCGAGTGTGTACAGAGAACCTAAGAATCAGAGGCCACGACAGATTTATTAGCAGACACAGAAAATAATCATAGAACAATTCTTAACTTTTTCCTATTGCTCTAGAGACTAGTCTAAAGGATATGGTAATTCTAAGGTTATAATTGGTTGCTATGTTCAGGTTCCAAGACAGAATATTGTTAGAATACTGTTTTCAGAATTGCACAAAGCTGACAAAACTCTGGAAATTCTCCACACTGGCAGCTTTTTTTTTTTTTTTTTTTTTTTTTGCCTAGCATTGACAAGCCAATATTAGTCCTGATTTGTAAATTGTTTCTCCCAATTTAAGAGAAGTGTTTGCAGATCAAACAGAATGTAGAACAGGTAAACTATTGGGGCACTTTTACACAGGATGAACAGTGAGCACTATTGCAATCAGCACCATAACGGTACAGCTGAAGTCTATGAAAACCGAGTGGAACTAGGTTGAGACTTCAGATAGAAATCAAATGAGTAAGTAATATTTTAAGAGAGGCATCTATTCTCCATCTTAACACAATACATAAATGTGGGATATCACTGAACACTACTGCTAAGTCAACTGGATTGTGTCAATAAGAATGGATCCTACATTTGGAGATTTCCATCTATTTTTAATGATGATAATAAAATATTAAATTGAAATTTAAAATTTAATAGAAATTTTAACACTACTCAACGATCTTCTTTAGTAAGCTGGATTTCTGTGAACATTATGCAATTTATAGATTCATTTCTTTTCCAATTGTACTTTTTTAAAATATTCTTTAGTCAAAACATATTTTAGCCAACTCCATCTACTTGCTTTATAAATAGGATTCCTATCCTGTATTACTTTATGGATTGTAGCCATTATATTAATACATTGATTGAAATGGATTAAGGTGTTCTGTTAGATAGCAATTAGCTTATGACTGGTTTGCTTATCAACCATTCAAAGTTATAAAAGACTTCCCTAGGATTACCTGCAACTTGGTTCCAATGGTCATATGATTGGATGTCAGATGCTTGGCAACCAGCCCACATTTATGGCTCTTTGCAGCAACCTGCAGTTATGTGACCATGTTTTATGATGTTTTTGTCAAGAACTGGCATTTTACTTTCATCAAAAGCACCCCACAGCAAGCAATGGGTTTGTTGCATGACTATAGCATTTGCTTAATGACTGCTGCAAAATTGGGTCACTCATGACAGTGTCCTGCTTGAATGGCCATCATGACATATGTTTCTATTCTGTTTTATATTGTGTCATGCTTGACTGCATGTATTCAGTGTTAGATTCTTTATTTGCAAATAAGACCAGTAAATAATAATCCCATATTAATAGATTCCTTCATTAGACCAGAGAGCACTGAGTGCCAAAACTGGAACGCATACACGTGCTGGAGTGCCGGAACCCAGAAGAGATTCTGGGTTGGAGTGCCGGAACCCTTCTGGGTTCTGTCGCGTGCATGCATGCCGGCCAGCTGCTCTCTTCTAGTTTCTGGCATGCACTTAGGTCTTCATGTAACCAGCATGCGCACTGGAACACCACACACATGCACACAAGACCAGCTGGCCAACATCCATGTGTGTGACAACCTGGAAGAGCAGCTTGTGACAGCACGCATGTCCACAGAGAGGGCTTTGCGAATCACCTCTGTGTGCCATAGGTTCGCCATCACAGCATTAGACCATTGAGTGGAATTGATAGGCATCAAATAAATAACTATATTTATTTCACTTTCTGCCTAGTCTCTTCTGAAGATTTGTAGCACATTTTGGAAAAAGTGAATGTTCCACTTCCATTTTATTTATTTATTTATTTATTTATTTATTTATTTATTTGTTTGTTTATTTGTTGTTCCAATAATATTTCCATGTACAGCATTTTTAAAAAGATTTTTTTATCCTGCCGTTATAATTTTCAGAAATAACTCAAGGCAGTAAGCATACCTGTTATATATCTTCTTCCTGTGAGGTGAGCCTGGGCTGAAAGAGAGTGACTGACCCAAAGTCATCATGCTGCCTTTCATGCCTGAGGTGGGATTAAATTCAATTTCCTGGTTTCTAGCCCGGTGCCTTAACCATAGCACCAAACTGGCTCTTAGTTTAAACTTCTAGATTATATAACAACTGTTCTGTTTTCTGTGTTTATCTCTTTTTCCCAATATTTTGCATGCTGTTTTTTTCTGATAATAATAAGTTAGCATTGAAATATGGCACAGTATACATTGTAAGAAATGGGGCATGAATGATACTATTAAAGTTATTGGATATCTGTGCATTAAAATTGCT